TGAGAGCTCCAAAACTTGGCAGCCCTGGCAAGTTTCCAGCCCTGCTAGCTTGCGCAAACAAACGCTGACTCTGCGAAGCCTCCTCTTCGCCAAAATAATTCGTTTCTATAATGATCATCGACCAATCAGATTCTGCCGCCCCACCTACTTGAACAGTAAAAATATGCAACCTGCTGGGCGGGCTTTAGAACTTCTTCTCGGGGTTTTTCAGGAACGAATGATTTAAGCGGATGTCGTGGACGATCCCACTTTGGGCACGCCCTGGATCACCTTCGTTCCTGAAGGTTCTCGTCGAAAGTGTATGCAGTCCATATCACCCTCCCACAGTCCCTGTCGCTAAACACGTCATTGAATCTGAACCGTCAAATCTCATCGCCGACGATCTAACGGTTTACCACTTTTTTTCCCGGATATCTGCCCTAGTGAACGTCCCTCATTTGTGAGATCTGTTGCGTACTATATACAGTACAATCGATGCTCACCCAATCTTGTATGCAACGCCTATCCCAATCAGAACAGCTTCCCAAAACCTCCGATTTAGGGGCAATGGGATAACGCACATAATTACATCTACACCGCACAGCTACCGAGTCCACCACACGTTGATGGAGGGCGGAACGAAACGACCACACAATTTGCCCGATGGGGCCTCTGCTTATTGACCAGACACAAATATCTTGTTACAAATTCCACGTTTCTGTCCCATTTGCCCGTGGCGAAGCATGCGAAATGACGAGCTCGACATTGCCACCGCGATTCGGGAAATTTGTATGACTCTCTTGCTCTTCGACTGTATGAGGTCCAAACCCCGTGGCAGGGCTCTGGGTTAAAGGTTAATTAATGACCTGATTCTGTTTTTTGCGTAGTAATGTTTTCTTGATTCTGTCTTCCTAACGGATTACTTTTTGTGTGATTCCTTGAGATTACGGGTTACTTTTCTTTCATTCCATACGAAGTGCACTTGTAGTAGGACATTGCTCGTATCACCCCTTCCTAACCTTCCTTACGGTTTCCCCAACTCTCTCCGCTAAGCACAGAGAGGTTGCTAACGGCAATTTTTTGAACTCTTCCAAACCGCTCGAGACATATTATGTGCGAGAAAGAGTTCCTGGGGGTTCTAGGGTTTTTCCTTGGCCGTGGTGAAGGCCATTTGTCTTCGACAAATCCGTATGCTAACATGTAAGTTTTCGGCGATTCAGTCCGCTAACGGGTAATTTTGGGGCCGATTCCGTGACCTAATGGAATACCTGTTAAATTATATATTGAGTTATATAATTGTTAGGCTTGGTAGGTTACCGAACTTTACTGAAGAGGGTACAATCCCCTCCTTGTATGCCTCTCTCTTTCTATTCCAACCCCTTTTCTCTCCTCAACTTTTCTCCTTCCTAAACCTCACGCCACTCCATGGCTCCTCCTAGCTAACCCTCATGCCTTTCCTAGCTTCCTAGCTAAGCTAGCCTTCTAACATGGTACTAGAGTTCCTCCCTGCTGGACCGCCTCCTTGCGCTTCCGCCGCGTACTCCTTGCCCTCGTTCGCTCGCGCGGCCATGGCGGCCGCGTTGTGCTGCAGTGGCGGCGTCGTGATGCTGCTGGCCGCGTCGTGCCGCTGCCGTCTCGACGCGCTGCCGTGGCATCGGGCCGCCGTGCTGCCGTCATAGCGTCGACGTCCCGCAGGAGCGTCGACGCCGCTCTGTGACGGCGGCGTCGGGCTGCAACCGGCCGCGCGACGCCTGTGGCGCCGCTAAACTGCCCACCCGCACGCCAGCCGGCCGCGCGACGCCTGTGGCGTCGTGCTGAAGATCCGAATGGTGGCATACGAAGGAATCGCAAGCGCCTTCGTACAGATATCAGCTGTGTTGGCACCGGAGGCCAAGTGTACTCCGCGAGCCTGGCGATGCTGCTGCAGCTCGCGCAGGAGGAAGTACCGCAGCTGGATGTGCTTCGCTCTGCCCTCAAGTCGAGGCTCCTGACACAGGAGGATCATGGCCCTGTTGTCAGCGTACAGGACCGGGGTAGAACTAGGCCGCTCGCCTAGGTCAGTGAGCAAGAAGGTCAGCCAGCGGAGCTCCTGTGCCGCCATGGCACCGGCGTAGATCTCAGCCTCACAGCTGGACTGGGCAACAGACGAGGAACGAGTGGCTCTCCACGAGACATCCCCGGAACCAAGGCTAAAGCAGTAGCCCTGTGAGGACCTAAGGGTCTCAGCGTCGTCTGCCTAGGAAGCGTTTGTGTGCCCAGTAAGGACTACTGGCCTGCGTCCTCCGAGCACTAACCCCATGCCCGATGTACTCGCGAGATAACGCAAAACCCTCTTAGCTGCAGACCAGTGCTGAGGTCTGTGTCTGCATATGGCCACAAAGCGAGCCATGAGGCTGAGAGGGTATGCGAGATTCGGACGAGTGTAAGTCATTAGGTAAATGAGACAACCCACCAGCTCTGCGTACGGACCACTGGGCTCTGCTGTCTCCTCAGGAACTGGAGCAGAGAGCTGGTGATCAACAGCAAGAGGTGTGGGCTGTGCAGAGGAGAACTGAAGACCGAACCTCTGAAGGACCTGGCGCACCAAGTGTGACTGGGTGAGAGTGATGGTGCGCGCTGCTCTGTCTCTGGAGAACTGTAGGCCAAGGTAGTGGCGCAACTCTCCTAGGTCAGTGCAGGTGTGTCTCCTCAGCAGCTCAGCCTTCACAAAGGCCAGGGCAGTGGTGTCAGCATTGGCAAAGACCAGATCATCTACGTAAACAAGGATGTAGAACGGAGCCTGGCCCGAACGAACGAAGAGTGAGGGGTCTGCAGAAGATGGAGAGAACTGCGGGTCTGCAAGGGTAGCAAGCAGCGTGTCGTGCCACTCGCGGGGCGCCTGACGCAAGCCGTAGACTGGACGCCGCAGGAGCCACTGGGTCCCAGGAGGGAAGGTGGCAGTGAAACCCTGAGGACGTCGCAGGTAGACCTGCTCATGTAGACTGCCCTGAAGAAATGCAGTGGAGAAGTCGAGAGAGTGTAGCTCGTAGTCACGCTGAGCTGCTACGCGTAGTATTGCCCGAAGCGTAGTCATCTTCGGGGTCGGGGCGAAGGTCTGAAAGAAGTCCACCCCCTCACGCTGACTAAAGCTTCTAGCCACGTAGCGCGCCTTGAAGACAGGCGGCTCTCCAGGAGGGCGCTTCACCTTGAAGAGCCAGCAGCCATCGACTACATTCACCCCAGGTGGGGGAACTGCGTCGACGTAGGTGCCGGTGGATCTCCAAGATGCCATCTCCTGCTCCATGGCAGCTATCCACTGAGAGGCCCAAGGTCCCGAGACTGCCTCAGCGTAGGTGCGAGGGGTCGGGATGTCGAAAGCGTCTGGGTCACCCTCAGGGACTAGCAGCATGGAGCAGAGATGGGGAGCAGCCTCGGACAGGAAAGCAAGCTCGTACTGGCGGTCCTCCAGGACGTCACTGCCGAGGGCAGGAGCACCCCCGACAGACGGAGGACCGGCAGGGTCAGAGACCAGAGTGGTGGCGTAGTCAAGGCGGCGGGTAGAGGCGAAGTCAGCTACCGCAGCGACAAGAGCGTCGAGACAAGAGACCGGAACAGACGGGTCGGTAACGAGAGAGGCAAGGACCCGAGGAACAAGAGGACGAGCGGCGCGAAGGTAGTCTGACAGAGGGGGAGGTGCAACCATAAGGGAGGACGGAGGAGGGGACGGTAGGAGGGGAGGACGGGACGTGTAGGAACGAAGCAACATAGGGTGAGAGTGCAGGACTGGGGATCAGCTACAACACAGGCGATAAGGCCGGCGGCGGGCCGGCTGACGAGGAGAGGGCGCCAGCGCAAGGGCCGGCTGAACAGGAGCGCAAAGGCTAGCTAGGAGCGTAGGCACAAGGGCCGGCAGGAACAGGGGCGCGAGGGCCGGCGGGAGTAGGGCGCGAGGGCCGGCTGGAAGGGCGCGAGGGGCCGGCTGTAAGGGCGTAGGGGCCAGCTGTAAGGGCGCGAGGGGCCGGCTGTAAGGGCGCGAAGGGCCGGCGTTAAGGGCGTGGGGGCCAGCTGTAAGGGCGCGAGGGCCGGCTGTAAGGGCACGAGGGCCGGCTGGAAGGGCGCGAGGGGCCGGCTGTAAGGGCGCGAGGGGCCGGCTGTAAGGGCGCGGGGGCCGGCAGTAAGGGCGCGGGGGGGGGGGGGGCGGCTGTAAGGGCGCGAGGGGCCGGCTGTAAGGGCGCGGGGGCCGGCTGTAAGGACGCGAAGGCCGGCTGTAAGGGCGCGGGGGCCGGCTGTAAGGGGCGCGAGGGCCGGCTGTAAAGGGGCACGAGGGCCAGCTCTAATAGGGTGCGAGGGCCGGCTGTAAGGGGCGCGAGGGCCGGTTCTAACGGGGCGCGAGGGCCGGCTGTAAAGGGGCGCGAGGGCTCGCTGTAAAGGGGCGCGAGGGCCGGCTGTAAAGGGGCGCGAGGGCCGGCTGTAAAGGGGCGCGGGGGCTGGTTCGAACGGGGCGTGAGGGGCCGGCTGGAAGGCGCGAGGGCCGGCTCTAACAGGGCGCGAGGGCCGGCTCTAACGGGGCGCGAGGGCCGACGCGTACGGGGCGCGAGGGCCAGCTAGGAGCGGGGCGCGGCTAGGACCTAGGGCGGAAGCTGAGGTGGGCGGGAGGACCTACCTACGTGTGATACCATCTCAGAAACAATGAATGGTTACAATGAGTCAGTACAAGGGAATATAATGGTAGAATGTTGTACCCTCTAAGGCATAACTCTGTTTAGTCTACAGAACTATACTAAGATAAGTTTGACAGCATGTTCATCGGAGCCATCATTGCAAGATTGCGTTGAAGAATATTGGTAAGCAGTACTGTATGAGCCTTGAAGCGCGGAAGACTTTGGGTCTTCGCCAGCATGGACGAGAACTAGAAATCAAACTACAAACTCGAAATGAAGAACGTGGGTGAGGCCAAATGGCCTCACCTCCCTCTCTTGTACGCAAAAGAGAGTGAGTAACGCTTCGTCGCTACCTTTGCTGTGTTGGCCACGTCTTCACTTTCACAATACACAATTTTATAAAGTGTAAAACACTTTTACAAATTATCATATCATGGACACAAATTATCATAAACATTATAAGATTTACACTAAGAGAGCACTGGGGGGAAGCCTTTTCTAGGGTGGTATACATAAAGGCACTCGCTCCTGAGCCGTCCCAGGCTTTCCCCCTATCGTGGTGGCACATTTTCTTTTGTTATACTTTTCGAAGTCTGCTCGCTTACCCTTGAATTCTTTGGCAAGAATGCTGACGCACGGTGTGTCAGCTTTGAAGTACTTTGTTTTGCCTTCAACACACCTACCAGCTGAGTAATCCAGATATTCTGCATCCACACAAACCTGCAGCCAGAGGGGGAAAAAAAATATTTTTAGGTAACGGCGGATCGTGTTTGAGGAAGAGAAAATACCACAACCAGCACCACACCTCCATCTACCAACCCGGGTTTCGCACCATCTCAGCATCAACCCATTCCTGAGAAACTTGCGTAACTTAATATCATACAGAAGGCACCCATGTTCTCACCTCCCCATGTTCTCACCTGCAATTTCATGCTTCCACCCGCACCGCCCTTGAGCCCCTTGGCAGGATCACACACGAGCCCGGGGTTCATTCGGTACAGGTCCACCATGGAGATGCCACTCCCGGGGGCATTCCCTGCCTGTGTGCAGTCGTCCACGGTCGTTATTACGGCACTCTTTCGGCAGGCGTGGACAGGGCCCAAGGGTATTGGGCTACGCTCGATACAAAGGGAGCGGGATGGCTTGATGTCTGAACAGTCAAGGTCCGGGTTGAGAGTCTCCAAGGAGCCGCGTAGTTTGAGGTACGTATCGATTGAAGAACAGGTGTCCGACTGGTGGAAAGGGATGGGTTTGGGGGAGGAGCGGGGAGGGTGGTGGTAGGGGATAAGTGGACTGCATGTGAAAGAGGGAGAGAGCGATAGAGAGGGCAGTGGCCTGAGAACAGCTTTCTCAGAATGTGACAAACTGCATGATTCCTTAAATCACATAAAAATGGCAAAGACGCAGAGCACTCGTGAGACAACAACAGCAGGGCACCGGCGAGCCAAGAGCAGCACTCACCGGTAGCGTGTAGTAGAAAGCAGAGCACGCGATCACATGTGCCTTTGTCATGTTGAGCACTTGGTTCTCTTGGAGGGGCTCCCCGCCCGCGCAGTCAAGACCCTGTGATTGCAACAGTAGGTGAGAAAATTCCCTTTCCTATTCAAGCATTCCTGCAACAATGCTGCTCCTGCTACAACTGTCCCGTTAGCGTGCTGGAAATTTGGTACTTGTGCAACTTCGGTTGTACCGCAACAACCAGTGATACAGAATAAGGAGTCTTGATTAGTTGTGCATCGCAAGTAAGAAACTGATAAGTAGCAGCAGAACACAATGAATGCAGAGGAAAAAACTGCTTCTGAGTCGACTTAAAGCGGAATTTCAATCCAGTTGTAGAAGCCACACCTGGTTATTGCGATTGAACTCGTCCAGCGTGAGCCCGAAGAGAGAATGCACGTCGGCGCACTGCCAGTTGCTCCCAGCCACTGTCAGCTTGGAAGCCACGCCCCAACCTGGCCATGGAAAGGCGCCGTGAGACAGGTACGAAATAAAAGAGCAGGTGCGGGTTTGGAGTGGGGGGGCGGGGGGGGGGGGGGGGCGGGGGTTTGGGGAGGGGAGAGGGGGGAAAGAGAGGGGGAAAAGGGAGAGTCGAGGGGATGGGTGAAGACAAGGAGGGGGGTGGGTGGGTATGAACCTGTTTCTGAGGCAGAAAGATAAGCTAGCAAAGAGCTAGCTGAAAGGAGGGGCACATTTTGGTGATACGGAGTGGAATAAAGCCAATGCGAAGAGCTTAATGTGGACGAACAAACGACTTGTAGTGGGGACGCACAGGGTTGCTGGAGGAAAGACAACGAGAGGGCTCCACTATTGAAAGGAACTTGGCTATGGAAGAAGGAGATCGTCCCTTCAGGTGGGAAAGGCAGGACAGAGAGCTCTTGCGCTCTTGTGCTCTTGACCTCTTGACCTCTTGACCCCTTGACCCCTTCAGCTCTTGAGCTCTTGACCCCTTCAGCTCTGAGCAAGTGAGACATTCACCTACCCCTGGTGCAGGTGGGGAAGCCATCGATGGTGGTGTCTGGAGTGTACGTGGGAGGGCACACACAGGTGTACTTGCCCTTGCCATCGTTGATGCACGAGCCCACCTCACAGGGGTTCTCTGTGCTGCCCCCACACGCATCCACTGGCCAAGGGAAGAAGGCAAGTCGCAAGCAGGCACATTAAACAGGGCAACAGAAGGAGCTAGCTGGTGCTAGGTGTGCTGCTTATGCGTGCAAGTTGCAACCACTGACAACGCACAACCGCACATAGGGGCCAGGACTGTGTGCGTGAGCTCTGCTGCTCATTTTAAGGATGATCAGATTTGTCTCTGATCGATTATCTATAGGTCCCTCTCCTGCATTCACCGCTTCTGAGCTGCACTGTAAACCCACCCTAAGCAGCCCACAGCGTTCTCATGAAAGGATGCATGCATGCTATGCTACTCTCACCACACAACTGAGAGGACCTTAGGCTATGCTTGCTTGATTAACCATGCTGTTCTTGCAACGCTTATGGGGGTCAGCATGGAAGGCACAGCAAGCACACGAGGGCATAGCAGACATATTGCGCATGTGATTGCGCACCCCCCTTTGAGGCACCACAGTATAAGAGGCGGCTCACCATAGGCACATGACTGAGAGCCATCAGCATTCGGGACCTGGACGAACGGGCCCGTGCATTCACACGTGTTGGAGGAGGTGCCCTTTACAGTGCACTTGAAGCTGCCACAGGGGTTCATGACTGCCTCGCCGTTGAAATTTTTGAATGACTTGACCATGCAAGGGTCGTCAGGGACTGGTCGGGCAGGGAGACATGAGAGATGGATGACTTCAGTGAGCAGACACTGGCATACAGATGTCGCGATTAGGCATCAGGAAAAGGACCTGTTTCTGAAGCTGGAAATTAAGCTAGCAAAGAGCTAGCTGATCACATAAGGGTCACGGTGCATGGAAGCAGGGCGCATTTTGGCCTTCGGTGAGCACACAGGCTGCAAACCCATTAGCCATTGGCAGAAGTATGCAAAACCGGGACAACTTTCACAAATCCCTAATAGCAGGCACGACTAGCAGGCACGTTGGAAAGAGCTAACAACATGGGCAGGACATAGGCAAAACATTGCGAAGCAGGGATGAATTTTGGGGGTGACGGGCTGTCAAGGCTGTCGGCCAAGGAAACTAAGTTTGACCACAGGGCAGCGGTGGTCTGGTCTGAGGCGCCCCAAGCACTCACTTCTGATGATTGGGTAGATCCCAGGCAGCACGTTGATGCCACAGATGCCATCCCCTGGCGCTATGTCCATGTGAATGTACCCCTTCTCTCCCCAATCCATGCCCCACGAGTTGCGGACTCTCCAAAAGGGTGGTTTGATGTGCGGGCGCTCCTTATCAGTGCCCATGAGGACGTAGCCTGTAACGAGTACAACGTGGTTGAGGTTTCCCATGTAGCACTCTGGGTCGTTGTACCTGGTCAACTGCACACACCACAGCACAACGGGCGCAGGTTCAAAGGCACTAACCAAAGCTGACGAGGCAAAGATTAGCCCCGACGTACAAGGTTAATAAAATAGCATAAATTTGCCGTGTGGTTGCTAAGAATGTTTAAGGTGCATGTGGCTAGTATTACCGCTTTTGAGTCGACTCAAAAGGTAGTATAACCATGTGAACTCAGGCCTACTTGTGCAGATTGTTCGCCCTTTGTGGTGGGTGCATGCATGGAGTGCATACCCCATTGTAATTGATGAAAGAGTTGGTGGTGGCCTCGATGTGAACCACCACTGGCTGCCGCCGCACCGCAAGCATGAGGCCAAAGTACCCCTTGAATGCTGCCCTTTCAAACCCAATGACCTTGTACTCCTTATTCTGCAGGCAACAGGCACCGGTACGCACAGAGTACAAATTGGCGGCGTTTGATCATGAACGACCAGCCTTCGCTTGCCTGCGCCATCTCGCTCACACGGACTCCCTCAACAAATCAAATGTAAAACTAGTAAGTTGTGAACGCTGATATGTTCTGAATGAATCCGTACGCAATTCCTCTCGTCAAGGAATCATTAAAAAAACCCTAGGCCAGCAATGCGAGTTTAGAGGCATGGGATTAGGTTAGCAAACACGGAAGGAAGGGAACACATACGGTTGCTGGTGGGGGTGCTGATCCTGTTGCCGGTGCTGCTGCTGCATGAGTGCGACGAGGAAGAGAAGTCTTGCCAAGTGAGGGACTGTGCCACGCTGCTTTGATCCAAGACAGCCAGGAAGCGAGAAAGGAGGAGGAGCGAGGGGGAGAGGAGGGGAGGGAGGGAGAGGAGGGAGGGGGAGAGGAGCGGGAGGAGTCCCAAGTAGAAGCTGGCTTAAGGCCCTTGGCAGACGCAACGAGAATCTGGAAGGCGACGGTGGGTGACCCGCTCTCGCAGGTGGTCATATTGGTGACGTCAAAGAGGGAGTTGATGGAGAGCGACGGGTACGGCCTGCTGTTGACCGCGATGCCGTATGCGGCCTCTATGCTTGCCACCACTGCATACGCCCAGCAGTCGCCTGCAGACATGGGAGGAGAGAAAGGGGGAGACGGGGTAAGGTCAATGGGCAGCTTAAGGAGGCACAGGACTGACAGAAGCTTAAAAAGGGGGGAGACTACAACCTCTAGGGGGGTCTACAACCTCTAGGGGGGAGACTACAACCTCTAAGTCCAAAGCGACTGCTAGCAATGCCAAGAGTCACACCACCACATCGGCCTCAGTCCCCAGCCAGCCAAAGCTCGCACCGTGCACAGCAGGTACTGTACATGCTCCATGCCTCCTAGCCATCCTAGACGAGGCTGGTCTACTTATAAGTCAACACAGCGCTGCAGCCCAAAGTCTTACTGCAATCGCCTTGGTCCGGCGCCACCCAGGTCGGGTCGATGGTCCACGTGGATAAGGTGGGGATGTTCCACGAGTCCTGTCCGTCCTGCGCTGGCGAGTACCCCACGCTCACATAGCGCGTGAACGGGCTTGTGGTATTGGGCTGGTATGTGTCCACCGTCACCACCAGGCCCGTGGCTGCAGGAAGGGACCCAGGGGGACATGGATTCGGGGGGGTGGATGCAATGCAACACACGGTGTTGGGGCGGTATGTGTCCACCGTCACCATCAGACCCGTGGCTGCAGGAAGGGACCCAGGGGGGCAGGGATTCGGGGGTTGGAAGGGAAGCAATGCAACACACAGTGTGGGGGCGGTATGCTTCCACAGCCGTGGTGTTTTCCTGCCCGTGGCTGCAGGAAGCAAGACAGGGGGTCCCCGGGAGTGAGAGGGTGGATGGAATGCAGCAAAAAAGGTTGCATCAGGATTGCTAAGCAAGAGAACGCTGAAGGTTGAGAGACACACTACTGATGCATTGACCACAGAAGCAGTCACTACTACTGCAAGCAACCAGGTTGTTACGGCGCTTGATATGTAACTATGATGTCCCTCCCTCGTAGGAATGCACAGCGTGCGCACACCCAAGTCACTCCTGGCTCGAGCCAGGAGAGGCTAGAACGCACACCTGCTGCTCAACAGAACAGCAGAACAGCCGCTCAAATTACCTCTGACATCTGGAAGCTGTTTTGTGGGTAGGTTTGATGATAAATCAAATCCTGCAAGCAGTGAAGCACAAGACAAACGTAGAAAAAAAGTGCATTTGAGTTTCTACTGGAGACAATGTTAGCGAAATTCCGGATTAGCGTTTCTACTCTTTGCAGTAGCAACAGCACACAGCAAGCTTGCCTGTTTCAATGGTTGTCGTTGCCACGAGATGCTCCTGCGCGTTAACCGTGGATGCCGCCACGAAGCCAAAGTAGAAGGAGTTCTTTGTCCGTGAGGGCAGAAGGACGTCGCAGAGTGAGACGCTCATGGAGAGCAAGGGCTCGGCCGGCTGGGCGTAGGAAGGTGAAGCGAACACCTTCAAGCTCTCAAACTCCCCTGGCGTGTACTCCACCCATGCAGAGTACATCCTCCCGTCGTTCAGGTCATCCGAGACGTTAGCACTCTTGCTGGATTTGGGGCTTCCTCCCAGGTTAACCCCAACATGATTTGCGCTCGTGTCACTGTCCTGCTTATCCAGCCAAGTGTCAAACTCTACAGCCATGCTGTGCTGATCCATCCCTGCATACCCCACACCGCTACTGCTGTTGGCAATTGTGCTTGAGGCCGAGACAACAAATGCGAGCCCGTTGCCGGCCTTGCCAGCTGTCTTCGGAATCATCATGAAGGAAAAGCTCGCCTTGAAGTAGAACTCGCGGCCGCAGCTGCCCCCCATGGTGTCATACGAGAAGAGCTTGAGGGGAGCCTCAGAAAAGAACATTCCGCGAGACGGTGTAGAGCGGTTGGTGAGGGTGAACATGGAGTCGATAATAACGGTGGTCTGGGGGTAGCTTTGATCTGTAAAGTGGGTAGAGTGAGAGGGAAATGCAGTGGGTTGAAGAAATGTGACGGAGTGGAGGTCAGCTTTGGAAATGCTGCAGTACGGTGTCTGGTGATGTCCCGCTGCCAGCTCATAGACTACTCTTAAGACTCTTAAGCCACCGGGTTGCAATACGGTGAGTGTGCCATTAGCACAGACTTTGTGATATTCTGTACAATCAGGTGGTCTGCCAACTGTCAAGTCAAGCGTACATTCCATTGACATGCCATGCTGCTTCGACCTTAGCGTCAACATGGAAAGCCTCCAGATGCAGCAGATATCTGGAGGAGGCTCTTGATTGGTCTGAAGCCCACTGACGACGTACATATGACGTGCAACGAAGGCGACCTGCAGGGATTCTACAATTGTGACATGCAATGCAAGGAAATTTACCTTCCGGGATGCAAGTGAAGGGAATCTCGCCATTGGCATAGCCCGCATCACAGTAACACACAGGCGTTTCCTCAGCCCCTTCCAGAACGCATGCTCCGCGACCCCCACAGGGAGGGCGTTTGCTGGAGAGGCCGCAGAACGGGGTGCATTCGTTCAGGGGCCGCCGGGTAAAGCCTGAGCATACGCGCTGCTGCTTCCCAAGGAGGCAGTTCTGTTCAAGACGGCTTTTCTTGCAGGTGACTGTGCTGGCGCCGGAGAGGTAGTTGTAACGAGCGCTGAAACTGACGGTTCGTGGCAGCGGAGCAAGGGTCCCACTGAGCTTGTTGTAGTCCAAGTTCCTGTGTGGCACCGGGAGGGAAGGGGCTGATTAGATTACACACAAAGTGGTTCACTCCCCCTGACCATGTGAACCGAAGGTGCTCTACTTCCCCTCACCATGTGAACCGAAGGTGCTCTACTTACCCTCACAATGTGAGCCGAAGGTGCTCTACCTCCCCTCACCATGTGAGCCGAAGGTGCTCTACCTCCCCTCACCATGTGAACCGAAGGTGCTCTACCTCCCCTCAACATGTGAGCCGAAGGTGCTCTACCTCCCCTCACCATGTGAACCGAAGGTGCTCTACCTCCCCTCACCATGTGAACCGAAGGTGCTCTACTTCCCCTCACCATGTGAACAGGAGGTGCACTGAGAGGTGAGCGGTTTAGTGAATGGATTGAACACTCGTAAGGTGGTCAGGGGTAAGTGGATGCACTTACATTGTGCGGAGAGCCTTTATGGTAGTAAGTCTAGAAGGAATGCTTCCTGAGAAACCGTTGTAACTCAGATCCCTGTGTTGCCGATCAGCCATGGGTATGTGTTGGACAGCATACATGCACAAGTTGTCCAGTGCACGTTATTTTGTGTACAAGAAAATAGTGCATCAACCATACAGTGGGAGGGGTGATGTGCTGCCAAGTGCATCATGCTTCGCACCCCCTAGCTGGCCATCTGCCACCAAGAAATAATTTTCCCGCTCCTACTGAAACTCAGAACCTTTGACACGAAAGCATACTGCTGTTGGTTCACAGGCATGCTTCCACAGGACAGGACAGGACATGAGCAGCAATCCACGGCACACTAAATGGTCCCACAACACACCCCTTCCGTCGTGCTCAAATATTGGCTAATGAGCGAGCAAGCACGCCATGTTGCAACTCACAGATAGTTGAGCTGCTTCAGCGCTTTAAGGTTGGAAAGCAACTGCCCCGACATACTATTGCTATGCATGTCCCTGCCAAGGGAACCAGTGTGAAATGACAGTGCGGCAAGACCAAGGGATTTGGGTTGGGTGCAGATGGGGGTGTAGATGGGGGTGTAGATGGGGGTGCAGATAGGGGTGTAGATGGGGGTGTAGATGGGGGTGCAGATGGGGGTGTAGATGGGGGTGTAGATGGGGGTGCAGATGGGGGTGTAGATGGGGGTGTAGATGGGGGTGCAGATGGGGGTGTAGATGGGGGTGTAGATGGAGGTGCAGATGGGGGTGTAGATGGGGGTGTAGATGGGGGTGCAGATGGGGGTGTAGATGGGGGTGTAGATGGGGGTGCAGATGGGGTGTAGATGGGGGTGTAGATGGGGGTGCAGATGGGGGTGTAGATGGGGGTGTAGATGGGGTTTGACTGCAAAGGTCCTCCATGACAGCTCTAGGGTCTTCGGAATGGCTCACAGCTCGGCAAAAACGGACTGGCATGGCTTGGTTGGAGCTTGGACTTACAATATCTTGAGCTTTGCTAATTTTGACATGCAGTCAGGGATGGACCCCGCAAAGGTATTCTGTGCGATATTACTGTCATGCAGAGGCAATGAGATCGATCGAGGAACAGGTGGTGCCTTATTGCATAAAATTGGCGTAAGCGCATGAGATTAGAAGAGAAGGGCAAGATGGGAAGGAAGATCAGAGGTGAAGAAAATAGTGGTAAGAAGAGATCCGTGGGTTGATGCAAACGCCGCACATAGAATTGTTGAAAGGTTCCATGAAGTGACGACGGCTGAGAGAACGAGACACAAAGGCACTTCTGCAAATAGTCCAATCCATGCAATAGCGACTCTGCAGCAGTATCAATGTCTCAGTGCGATCGACACTACTGCACTCAGCAGTGTTTTTGCTGCAACGAAACCCACTTAACACATTGGGAATGACGATGACTAACAGTGAGCAAAACCGGGTAATTACCCGACCCGACCCGGTTTTGCCCTACCCGCAATCGGGTCCGGGTCGGGTCGGGTCGGGTAATTTCCGGGTAATGTTTGGAGGTCTGTTACCCGACCCGACATTTTAATACCGGGTAATTGGGTACCCGTCTGTCGGGTCGGGTATACCCGACCCGCATTTAATTGAAGTCGGGTAATATTACCCGGGTACCCCTAGGTGGCTGTAAAATTCAGCAAACCCAGAGTAACAAACCCAAAGTCGGGTCGGGTACCCGCGACCCGACGGGTAATAAATTACCCGACATTTCGGGTAATTCTCGGGTAACGGGTATGCATTACCCGGCTCGAGTACCCGACCCGACCCGGCCGGGTAATTCGTCAAAATCCTATTACCCGACCCGGCCAAAATGTCGGGTCGGGTTGGGTACCCGCGACCCGACCGGGTAAAATGCTCAAGTCTAACTGACACCATCGATGTAGAGCACTCACAACTTGGTAACCTTTGTCATGTTACAGACTCCTTGTGGGATACGGCCTGTAAACACGTTGTTACTTAAATCCCTGCACCAGCAAGTGGACGATCCACAGATTTTCCAGCTGTTAGATCATCATAGTCGTACAGGCCTGAATGCCAGAAATAGCACCCCACACTCGCAACACGCCCCATCTTGAATCGTCGTACACTCCACTCCCATCCGCATCTCACCCTCCCGATCCATGATGGGCTTGTGCTCCTGTTGTGACCAGATCTGCTTTTGAGTTGACTTATGAAAGAGCTACATCTATTCTACTGCCTGACGATAGATTTGCTCACGGCAAATCCATTCCTCGCAATGCTGAGATCGAGATCAATTGTGTGTCGCAGAAATCACCTCCTTACGACAAGGGCACACGGCACTTGGCCAGATTCACTCACAGCATCCCTATTCGTTGCATTGCTGAGATCGACTTGGGAAGGTTACCCGTGAAATCGTTGTATTGCAAATCCCTGAGATGAGACGGTCTCACATCACATGCATACGGACAGAATGCAAGGCATGTTCAGTTATAGTGCGAGGGGATGTCGAAAGCGTTAGAAAAGGCTGTTTCACATTCTGAGACGCCTTTTACTTAAAAAGAGCCATGGCAGGGGGCGGCCTTTGTTAATGACATGTCAAAAAGTGTCAAACTTTAACAAAGCCAAAAAAAAAACTATAAAAGGTCATTGTTGTTGCACATGCCAGCAGGAAGCTTAGCTCTAGAGAAGTGAGTGAGAAGAGCAAGCAAGGCATGCACAAAGCTGGAAGTGAGTTGTAGTCACATAACCGGGTCAGACACTCAGAAGGAGACTTAACCGTCTCAAGAGGATGGTAAAAAGGATGAACGTGATTAAGGGATGTAAAAACATAATGGTGCCGAGGGAAGCACCTTTTCCCTTACCACTCGACCAGATTGGTAAGCCGTCCAATCGTCGTTGGAAGAGTGCCACTAAAACGGTTATTACCAAGGTTCCTAGAGCGGGCAGTGAAGGTGCGTGAAGAAGAAGGGATGGCAATGTCAAAGGGTAATCTGCAACTACATAGAGCCCAGCTGTATTCTACTAGGAAGGCTGGAAATACAGTACAGTGCATGTGGAATTCACGGATATCAAACGGATATCAGATGAATATCATGGATATCAGATGGATGGATATCAGATGGATGGATATCAGATGGAGCACTTTCAAGCTAATGCCAGATGGGTGTGGTGCGGTGCAATGCATACAATGCCAGGTGGGTGTGCACTTACAATGACGTCAGATAGATGAGATTTCCAATGAGCGAAGGTATGCTTCCCGAGACGTCAGAGTTAGACAGGTCCCTGTTATCAATGGGCTTGGCAGCACGTGAGGGCAGTGGCATACCAGAATCCAGCATAGCCAGATATCTCCTCTAACATGCCAGCGTTATTTGTAAGCAGCGCTTTTGCACAGCCACATGCTCGTAACTTGCATGCTTAAAGCTTTTGTCATACGCACAGCCACATGCACGTAACCATCCAACCCTACAGTAGCAATTCGTTTTATTATATCGATCACCCGCCACAGAATGACAGTGTAATAGCCAGCACTGCAAATCTCCTTACAGGCAAATCTCCTTACAGGCTGACGACGTGGTTGTCATAATCACACGTAATGCCCTCCATCTGGTCACATCCGTGGTCCTTCTTCCACGTGCCGAGCCCGTCATACCCCTGCCAGGCCTTCCTCAGTGCCGCCAGTGCAGCCCCTGTGTGTTGGGCAGGGATGGGAGCAGCGTACAATGAGGGAAGGGGAGAGGGAGATATATGATTCTGCACCTGGTGTGAGCATCGCATCACATTGATGCAAATAAAATACCTCACACGCCGTTCCCTCATCACGATAAGGCTTACATTCTGAATCCGTGGGAAGGCCGTCGCATGCTCCAAGCGAACCTCCCCTAGTAGAGTCCGACCCACACGCGCACGTGGCATAGTTTATCCCGTCTTCCCCCACCGCCCAGTAGCAATAACCGAGGCCGGGGCAGGGTGGGGTTGGGGGGGTGAGCTGACAAAAGTTATAACAGTCTTCTTCGGAGCTCTGGGACTGCCGGAGACCGCAAGGGATGGCTTTGGGGGGAAAGCAGTTGCCCTGCAGGGAGAGCACCCCCGCCGATGACTTGCAAACGGTTTTGTTCAGACCGCCGGAGTAGAGGTAATTGTTGCTCACGTCCCTACGGAAAGGAGGAGAACGGGATGCAGAGTGAATGCAGTTTGGGATAAAGACGGCCTGAAGGGCGACCTGCTGTTGCTTGCAGCATGGCGACTTCACCTGATGTCATGGCATGGTATGGTGTGCACCACGAGCCTGGCATGGTATGGTGTGCACCACGAGCCTGACATGGTATGGTGTGCAGTGCACCACGAGCCTGGCATGGTATGGTGTGCACCACGAGCCTGGCATGGTATGGTGTGCGCCTACTTTTTCACCAGAGTTTAGCTTACAGTGTCCGCAACCCTTGGAAGGTGTTGCGCCCCTGAAAGCTGTTGGGCCATTGCAAGCTGTTGAGCCCACTTGGTAAAGCTCCTGACAGTTGGTTGTATGATAAGTCCCTGCCAACAGAGAAGAACCCCAAAGGGTTTACTCATAACGAGCTAATGCTAGGCTCGTGGTGGCTTATTGACCATGACTGTAAACCGACTGCCGAGTCAATGTGCAATCAGGGTAGCCGCAGCAACTCAGTGTAGCTTTTCCAGGGTTGCATAGTTCATGCATCATCTCATCTCATCTCAACAGCTCCCCTTGCAAGCTCAAACGCACAAGTATTGTAGGCTCGTCAGACGGCTGATGGAGTCTGGAATTGGCCCCGCTATAGCGTTGTTGGACATATTGCTGGGAGGTTGGGAGGGAGTGGACAATCACGAGGACCAAGGTGTGGAGTGGAACGGGGCGGGGGGGAGGTTGGGAGTTGACAGGGAGGGGACACACAAGAAACTGGCCCACTGGTACAAGGAAATGACACAGGAAACAAGGTGGATGAGAGTGACTCGAGGAAGCTGGCCCACTGCTTTTGCGTGAACTCAAACGAAGAGGAGCAATGAGATAGTGGCTTGAACGAAGAAGCTGGTGCGCATGCCACAAATGTGCGTGCGTCCACTGGCAAGCACGGCATGCGCACATGTTTGTGCACACACATGCTCGCTTGCTCCTATGCCCTCTCAGATGCTGCATGCAAGTCCTTTGTTAATCCTCCTCACCTCACGAGCTCATGTTACAACAAGTGATGCTATACACAGAATGTTTAAGGTGGCACTTTGCCAGCAGTTGAGCTCAAAAACTCACTTACAGTGATGTAAGGCGCGACAGGCCTTGGATGCTGGTTGGAATCGATCCCGAAATACTTTGTCTGGAAACATCCCTGTAAATTTAATTGAAGGAATAGGAGAAAACATGCGTCCTATTGAAAGGCGCGGAGACAATGTGGAGTGGAGAGATGAACCATGGCCGCAACCCCCGACGTCCTAGTTCCGTGACAGCATCACCACATGAAGTTGTGAGGTGGACGGGAGAAACATCATCATGGCAAGGCAAGGAAATACATCATCATGGCACGGGGCAAGGAAATACATCATCATGGCACGGGGCAAGGGAATACATCATCATGGCAAGGGTCAAGGAAATACATCATCATGGCACGGGGCAAGGAAATACATCATCATGGCACGGGGCAAGGAAATACATCATCATGGCTCGATGTGTCTGCCAGTGTTGCATCAGCTGTGGTCGTCTGAGGCGTAGTTGGCCAAATACGTTTTTAGGGTCACGAACATGTAAACACACGCGTAAACTTATGTGTACACATACTTTCACGTATTACATGTAAAGTGGATCGGGTTGGGCAGGTGGGCACCTAGATACGTGATATCCAGCTATGAGGCACCTATCAACCGGCTCAAGGGGTGTTCCTTACAGGTCCACTATGTGGTTGTCGTCGTCGCACTGCACATGATTCATCCTTTTACAAGGAATGTTCTTGTCCCACGTGCCTGAGCCATCGAAGCCGTCCCAAGCCACACTCAGGCCCTCCAAAGCGAGCCCTGCACACAGCAGGCAAGTGATAGAAGATAACGAGGGGGCGTGTGCAAACTTGGGCTTGTGAGAAAAAGGTCTCGTGCAATATCTACCGACCGGGCTAGCAAGCAATCTATGCAATTCTTTGGCTGTAAGAGCGAAAAAAACTGAGAGATCAGAAATGTAACGGACACGATGAGAGGAGGATCCCATGCTTTGGAAGTATCGAGGCTTACATTCGAGTTTTGGCAATAAGCTGACGCATGTGCTGGAAACATTTCCCTGTGTATAACCCTTCTTGCACGCACACGTGGCTTTGCCTGCGGCTTCCCCCCCATCCCAATAGCAGTAGCCGTGGTTGGAACAGGGCGGATTGGAGGGAGGGGAGAGGCCACAGAAGGTGGAGCATTGTGCAGAGGAGCGCTGCGAGTGGAGGGGGCATGGGATGGCGTTGGAGGGGAAGCAGTTGCTCTGCAGGGAGAGAGTGAGCGCTGATGACGTGCACATGGTGGTGGGGAGACTGCCAGCATAGAGGTAGTTGTCTCTCACGTTCCTGCGGATCGGACAAGAAGGAAATTGTGGACGAAAAGGGAAACTGTGAACGAAGCGAGATTGACAGGGCATTGCACGCACGGTGTCTTGGGTAGAGCGCCCGAATGGATTAGAGGTGGTTGTCATGTCGCTGACAGACCTTCACGATGCGAGTCGAGTTTTGAGGCGCCTCAAAACTTGTCGTGTCGCTGACAGAACTTCAGAATGTGCCGAAAGGCATGTGCAAGCATAAGAGACTCAACGATGATTGAGGAAGAAGGAACACCATGATTCATCTCGATCATCAGAGACGATGACTTTTGAGTCGCCTCGAAAGTAACCCTCGATCATTAGGGACGCTGACCAACGTGAGAACAATCGTGACAGGCAACTCCTAAGGTGCTCCCGAGGGCTTGTTTTGAGGGCCTTAGGAGGGGGTATTGCTCACCCTCACAGCTTCCACAGTTGTGGGTGTATTGCTACAACAACGCAAATTGCTGACTGAGATCTATTTCTATTAACCAGTCTCTCTTGCCGTAAATTCCTTTACGAGTTGGACGTAATGCATGGATGCAGAAGCCTAGAGGTGATTCAGGACAACAGCTGCACTCACAGGGTTTTGAGGTTCGAAAGAATGCTTAAGCCTTTTGGCAGGGTACCAGTGAGGTAGTTTTGCGACAAATCCCTGCACGAGCCAGCCATCGACAGTACACGGGGGAACACTGGCCGCGATTAACATCTATGCAGTTCACGTGCAGCTATGAAAATGGTTGACACTGTTTGTCAATGGCGCAAACTTAATGAAGTATGCTGCAGGTGCAGTCTGCAACATGGGGAGGAGGAGCATGCACTCACAGCAACATGAGGAGGAGCATGCACTCACAGCAACATGAGGAGGAGCATGCACTCACAGCAACATGGGGAGGAGGAGCATGCACTCACAGCAACATGAGGAGGAGGAGCATGCACTCACAGCAACATGAGGAGGAGCATGCACTCACAGCAACATGGGGAGGAGGAGCATGCACTCACAGCAACATGAGGAGGAGCATGCAATCACAGCAACATGAGGAGGGGGAGCATGCACTCACAGCAACATGAGGAGGAGGAGCATGCACTCACAGCAACATGAGGAGGAGCGTGCACTCACAGCACAGTCAAGCTCGCCAAGGCACTGATGGCGTCTGGAATGAATCCCCGGATGCCCAGCCCCGAGACATTGCTGCCATGCGAGGATGAGGAAGAACGAGTGGAAAGGGTAGACAGGTGAGAGGGGAAGCATCTGGGAGTAAACAGGTGATGCGTTGAAGCTAGCAACGGCGCGTAACGGGCAAGTAGCGGAAGGGGGAAGGAGGAAGGAAAAAGGAAAAGAATCCAGTCCATGAAGATCTTCAAGTTGTCTCAAAGACAGTAGTAACGGGGTGATGCTTCTTACAGCTGCATGACATGGTTGGTTGAATCGCATATGATGTTACTCATGCGCTCCCAAGCATTGTTGTTCTTCCATGTCCCAAAGCCATCAAAGCCCCCCATGCAGCTGAGAGGGTTTCCAACGCAGCCCCTACAAAGAAGGAATCAATTCAGCACAAGACAGAAGCTGAATCAGCACCCATGCACAGCAGTGCTGGCTCTCGAAATCAGGATTCTTGGTGTTACAAGCTGAGAAAGCAGTGATCGTCCAACACGTGTCCCTCGTCGTGGGGAAGTACTTGACTGACCGGAGCTGACAACTGACAAGCATAAATCCTCACAGGGAAGCACCTCCACCAAGCAGCGCCTTACATTCCGAGGATGAAAGCAGGGAAGCACACGTTGCAGGATCCACTCCTTTCCCGTACCCCCCCTCACACGCACACATGGCTGTGCGTGTGCCTTCCACCCAATCCCAGTAGCAGTGGCCGCGGTCGGCACAGGCGGGGTGGAGGGAGAGAGGTGGCAGAAGGCAGAGCAATCGTCAGAGGGCCGCTGGGTGTGGACGAGGGCGCAGGGAATAGCGTTGGAGGGGAAGCAGTTGCTCTGCAGGGAGAGTGTGAGCGCTGATGAGGTGCACATGGTGGCGGGAAGAGTGCCAGAGTAGAGATAGTTGTTCCTCACGTCCCTGTCAGATATAAGGGATTCAAGGGATTTAAGGGATTCAAGGGATTTAAGGGATTTAAGGGAAGATTGGCAAAAGGAATGCAGCAGGGTGCGTGCTTGAATGGAGACTCATAGCAGGGGTGGTAATTGAAACCATTACTAAGAGCAGGGGGTTAAGACAAATAGGACCAAGAAACGGTTGTGGTTAAAAGTTTTAACTGTGACCGGATATCCTGAGACTGGTAAGTAGCCTCATTTTGAGGCCCGTGCTGAACTTTGGAAATAATAAAAAGTGTGAGATTGCTAGTGTGCACATTGCTACCAGAATCTGCTTTGATTAATGATTCTTCTCACAACGTCTGAAGGCGCTGAAGTTCAATGACTCTTCTCACAACGTCTGAAGGCGCTGAAGTTCAATGACTCTTCTCACAACGTCTGAAGGCGCTGAAGTTCAATGACTCTTCTCACAACGTCTGAAGGCGCTGAAGTTCAATGAAGGAGGGCGGAATCGACCCAGACAGCTGGTTGTAGGACAAGTCCCTGTGAGGGGGTGTGTGATGTGAGGGTATGGACGAAGAGGGGGTGAAGCAGACGGAGGATAGAGGGCAGCAGCGGCAAGGGGCACGGCCAACGGAAATCAAAAGGAGAAAAATGAAAGCTGGCGAGTCAAAGTCGACATGTGGAGGAATCAAATCTGCCTAAACACAGAAGTGGCCCGGCTGGCACTATCACCACGCAGCACCATCTACTGGCGACGGTATTCGTGACTCACAGGGTGTGAAGGCTGAGTAGGGTGCTAAGACCCTGAGGGAATTCTCCTGATAAATCATTGTGTGACAGGTCTCTGCACATGCACAGGGCAATGGGGCGGTGAAGAATGGAGGACGGAGTAAAGAACAGGAAGGGGGTTGAGAGAGGGTATTAGAGTAACATGTTGTTACACAAACCAGGAAAAACAAACGTGTGACACAGCGTCATGCAACAAAGGATGGCATGGCACATATCCTATGACGTACAGATGCGTGAGGCGAGAGAGCGCTGTCAAAATGGATGGGATGGTTCCACTCAGGGTTTGACTGGATAAGTCACTGCAACATCCACGAGGAGGGATAGGGTAGCGTTAGAGTGAGGGGGGGGGGAGAGGGGATGAAAATAAAATGTGGAGGAAAGAGAGAGGGGAGGAAGGGATGAGATGGTGGGGAGGGAGGGTACGTGTGTGTTCCACCCTCTATGCCTTGTATGCCTTGTCACCATCTAATCGTTTCGTTCTCAAAGCAACGCTCTCTTTGGTCTCCTTCACTTTTCAAACTTGAAAAAAAAAAGGGCTAAAGTTCCAAGAGAGGAAAACGGGTGGCCAGGAGGGAACAGAAAAGGCAGAGGGCAAGCAATGTATATGGATGGAACAGATTGGATTAGGCCAGGGGTGGCTCATTCTTGCACAGAACGATAGGAATCGTTCAATGAGGGGAAACAGTCACTAGCATTGTACACATCTCAACCTCATGCATAAAATATTACACACAGCATTCACCGCAGCAAGAAATATGTGCCATTCATAGATTACTCACAGCTTAACAATAAAATTCTCGCCATCGATTGAGGCGAAGCGCTCTTTGAGGGAGTCAATGGTTTCGGACTGCCACACGCTGTTAGGCGCTGAGCCCCAGAGCTGCAGCAGGCCGTTCAGCACCTCAACTGGCAGCGCAGCATGTTCAGAAGGGAACAACATTGCCTTGTGAGAAAAAGGAGAGGAAAAAAAAAAAAAAAAAAAAAAAAAAAACAACAACAACAACAACAACAACAACAACTGGCGGGGCATAGGTCGTTTGCACCAGGGCATATCCACTCAACCACCAAGAGGACGCACCCTGAGAGCTCTGCAGCGTGGAGACGCAGGACGTGCTTGACGAACCGTGCGTGTAACCACCCGCGCACTGGCACTGCATCTCGCCCTGCTCCCCCCACGGTATATTCAAGTTCTCTCCATAGCAGTACCCATGTCCGTCACAGGGGGGGATGGAGGAGGGCGCATCCATCCCGCAGAAGATATAACAATCCTGTAGCTGCGATTCGTCCAGCTGGCACAGCACACTGTCCGGGTCCAAGCAATTGCTAGCGACCGACACCTCGGCCTGATTACAGATGTGATCCCCAATGGTCCCAGATGTGAAGTAGTTGAACTTTAGGTTGCTGTGTGGGTGGGGGCGAGGACCAGTCGGGTGAGTGAGACGGAGGATCATGGGATGGGCGCCTTGATAGTGAGATGGGCGCCTTGATAGTGAGATGGGCGCCTTGATAGTGAGATGGGCGCCTTGATAGTGAGATGGGCGCCTTGATAGTGAGATGGGCGCCTTGATAGTGAGATGGGCGCCTTGATAGTGAGATGGGCGCCTTGATAGTGAGATGGGCGCCTTGATAGTGAGATGGGCGCCTTGATAGTGAGATGGGCGCCTTGATAGTGAGATGGGCGCCTTGATAGTGAGATGGGCGCCTTGATAGTGAGATGGGCGCCTTGATAGTGAGATGGGCGCCTTGATAGTGAGATGGGCGCCTTGATAGTGAGATGGGCGCCTTGATAGTGAGATGGGCGCCTTGATAGTGAGATGGGCGCCTTGATAGTGAGATGGGCGCCTTGATAGTGAGATGGGCGCCTTGATAGTGAGATGGGCGCCTTGATAGTGAGATGGGCGTGTGCACTCACAAATATTCCAAGCCGCTCATGGTATCCGTTGTTGGGATCTTTCCCGCAAAGAAGTTGTGAGCGATGTCTCTGAAACGCACAGAAAAACACACACAAACAGAAGAACGCACGCTCAAAGCACGATCACAAGGAAACAGCAAGCTTACAAGGAAACAGCAAGCTTACATGCTAACAGCAAGCTCACAAGTAACTCAGCTGATCCAAGCGTTTGACGTCAGGAAAGGGCCGAAGAAATTATTGTACCGGAGATCCCTGGAAGGGTGAGGATGCAGAGAGAAGAGGATCTAGAACACAGCGGCAGGTCCAGATGAAGAAGCAGCAGCAGCAGCAGTGACGATACAGATGAGAGTGAGAAAAAGTGGGTGGCCCTGCAAGCACCTGTTGCGGTGTGGCACAAAAGCCGCTGCACCAATTGCGCCAGTGCACTACACCTGGGCTGGGCGGAGGGCGGAGGGCAGCACTCAGCACCTGGGTGCCGGACAGCGCACTACACATGGGCGGAGGGCAGCACACAACACCTGGGCGCCGGACAGCGCACTACACGTAGGCTGGGCAGAGGGCGGAGGGCGGAGGGAGGAGGGCGGCACATCATGGAGGAAGGCCTTACAGATGCTTGAGCTGTGTCATCATGGATAAGGCTGCAGGTAGTGACCCCGACAGGCGTGAGTCGAGAAACACACTGCAAGGAAAATCCATGCTAGGATACACTGAGGGCATTTCCCTGGTTGTTCACAACTTAAAACGGATAACGCTAAGCGCAACTGTTGCCTGAACAGTGCCATGCCATATGTCTGGCAAGCAAGTGCTAGAGAAATTTCGACGAAATTAACACGCCCTCGTCCTCAAGAGTCTCGACACACGCAGAGATGCACTGGAGCAAGAGAGAAGAGCGAAGAGGGGTGAGGGAACGCACATGCTGGGTGAGATCCCCAAGGTTGAAGAGCTCCGAAGGTATGCCACCAGTGAAAATACCTTTTGACAAGTCTCTGCACAGCCGTGGTGGAGGAAGGAAGAGGTATGTTTGGGCGCAAGAAATGCAGTTGAGGCACCTCGACGCAGAGTGGGCCTCATAATACAGGCAGGAAATAGGTCTAAGCCAAAACAATAACGCTCAACATGTGCTTGATCAAAGCAGCCATGAAAACGGGAGTGGAGGGCTGGAGGAGTGGAGTGGAGAGGTCAGGCTAGGGGAGGGCAAGAAACGTGAAGGTTTACTTACATCTCAACGAGGCTGGTAAGCTGACTGACGGACTGTGGAATTGAACCAAACTCATCAAAGTGTCCCTCTATGCGTCTGTGGGATCCAGGCATGTTTTGCAATCCAGGGGTATAGGGGAAGAGAGAGAGAGAGAGAGAGAGAGAGAGAGGAGAGAGAGAGAGAGAGAGAGAGAGAGAGAGAGAGAGAGAGAGAAGAGAGAGAGAGAGAGAGAGAGAGAGAGAGAGAGAGAGAGAGCAGGTGATCGTGATGGACGAAGAGGAGCACATGGCCTCGCTTCGGCTCAGCATGGTCCAGCACATACGCATGTCGTGGGAGGAGCTGCATACATGATCGACAGTTTCCTCGTCCAGACTCTTGATCAACCGGGAGCACATGTTTTTTAACAGAGCAGGAACCGTATGATTGGCCAGCGAAGGCTAGAGAAGATCAATGAATACACAAGAAATGCCAAGGAGTGCTGGAACAGGAGAGACGAGCAACGTAGAGCACGGAAACGCACATGCGGGTGAGGTGTGTGAGGTCGAAGAGCGCTGACGGTATGCCCCCAGTGAGATCCAGCCTTGCCAACTCACTGCACCACAACCGGAGTGAAGGAAGGAAGGACGAGGCACACGGTTGAGGACGAAGCAAGCCATGTGGTTGAGGTGCCTTAAAAGCAGAGTGGAAAAAGGGAGCGTCATAGCACAGGCGACCAACAAGTCAAAGCAAAACCAATCAACTCTCAACCAGTACTTACTGAATGAAGCAATCATGAAAACAGGAGTGGAGGGGTGAAGGGGGTTTGGGGAGGGCAAGAGACGAGTAGGATACTTACAGTTCAACAAGGTTGGTGAGCTGACTGATGGACGCTGGAAAAGAAAAAGACGAGTAGTCTTCGGTCCTTATGACTCTGGTGCGCCAAGACATGGTTTTTGCAACCAGGGGGAAGAAGAGGAGGACAGTAGGGAGAGGAGGTAGGGGCGTGGATTGGAAGAAGTGCGAGAGGGGACACACATAGATGGCATCCATGTGGCATGATGCTGCAGATGTGCATACATGGCATGGCATGCACTTTGCATGGGAGGAAGGACACACAAGATAGACAGCTCTCCTTGACATACCCCCAATCAAGTGGGAGCCATACGCGCTTTAAACACCCTCGAGAAATGCAGAGGCACGTGGGAGCAAGAGAGAGGAGCAAAGTGGGGTAGGGGAACGCACACGCGGGTGAGGTGTGTAAGAGTGAAGAGCTCTGAAGGGATGCTGTCAGTGAGGTCAATGCTGGACAACTCTCTGCACAGCCGGTGTGGGGAGAGGGAGGGAGCCATCCGTGTGTGCAAGGGATGCAGTTTAGATGCATCAAAGGCAGAGTGGAGGGATCGAGCCTCATGGCACAGGCACGAAGCCAGTAGAAGCCAGATTGATACTTTCTCAACCGTTACTTAACTAAAAGGAATCGTGAAAACGGGCGCACAGGGCTGGAGGAGGCTTGGAGAGGACCTGGGAGTACTAGATTTACTTACAGATCAGCAAGGTTGGCTAGCTGAGTGATGGACTGCGTTAAAGAGAAAGACTGGGAGTAGTAAGACTGGTAATATTCACTGTTGCCTCTTATGATTCTGGTGGACCAAGACGTTTTTTGCAAACAGAGGGAAGGGAGAATGGGACGGGAGGGAGAGGGGGATGGGATGGAGGGATAGGGGGCGGGGAGGGAGAGGGGCCGGGAGGGAGAGGGGCCGGGAGGGAGAGGGGCCGGGAGGGAGAGGGGGCCGGGAGGGAGAGGGGCCGGGAGGGAGAGGGGGCCGGGAGGGAGAGGGGGCAGGGGCTTGGCATGGATGAAGTGAGAAGGGGGACACACATGGCATGCATTTGGCAGGCATGATGCCAGACATACATACATGATGCCAGACATACATACATGATGCCAGACATACATACATGATGCCAGACATACATACATGATGCCAGACATACATACATGATGCCAGACATACATACATGATGCCAGACATACATACATGATGCCAGACATACATGATGCCAGACATATATACATGATGCCAGACATACATACATGATGCCAGACATACATACATGATGCCAGACATACATACATGATGCCAGACATACATACATGATGCCAGACATACGTACATGATGCCAGACATACATACATGATGCCAGCCATACATACATGATGCCAGACATACATACATGATGCCAGACATACATACATGATGCCATGGCATGCATTTGGCATGGGAGGAGAGGAGGACACACGAGATAGACTGCTCTACTTGACATACCCCCAGTCGACTGGGAGCCATACGTTGTTTGAGCAGAGCAGAAGCCATATGCTGGGCAAACGAATGCTGAATGAGTTGATGAATATTGAACACACCCTCAAGAAACGCAGAGATTATGCGATGTGGGGTGGGGGAACGCACATGCGGGTGGGGGAACGCACATGCGGGTGGGGGAACGCACATGAGGGTGGGGGAACGCACATGCGGGTGGGGGAACGCACATGCGGGTGAGGTGTGTCAGAGTGATGAGCGCTGGCGGAACGCTGTCAGTGAGCTCAACGTTGGACAACTCTCTGGACAGCCGGTGTGCGGGGGGAGGAAGAGGCATGCGTTTGAGGTGCACCAAAACCAGAGTGGAAGGAGGGAGCCTCATGGTAGAGGCAAGAAATAAACGAAAGTCAAATTCATTTACTCTCAAAAGCAATCACGAATACAGGCGAGCAGGGGAGGAAGCGGGCTTGGAGAGGGGTTGGGAATAGTGGGTTTACTTACAGCTCAGCAAGGTTGATTAGCTGACTGATGGGCTCTGAAATAGAAAAAGGCTGGTAACCGTTGTCCCTTATGATTCTAATGTGCCAAGGCATGGTTTTTGCAGCCAGGGGGGAGCGGGGGATGGGAGGGAGAGGGGCAAGGGGTTTGGCATGGAAGAAGTGGGAGGGCGGACACACGTGGCATGCATTTGGCTTGGGAGGAGAGGATGGACACACATGATAGACAGCTCTGCTCCACAGACCCCCGATGGACTGGGTGGGAGCCATGCGATGTTTGAACAGAGTGGAAGCCATGTGCTGGGCAAACGAATGCTGAATAAACTGATGAACGTTAACACACAAACACACCCTCAAGAAGGGACTCGTTGGAGCAAGAGAGAGGAGCAATGTGGGGTAAGGGAACGCACACACGGGTGAGGTCTGTAAGAGTGAAGAGCTCTGAGGGAACGCCGCCATCAGTGAGCCCCACGTTTGACAACTCTCTGCACAGCCGAGGTGGAGGGAGGAAGAGGCGTGCGGTTGACGTGCCCCAAAGCAGAGTGGAAGGTGACGAGAAACATCTCAAGGCCAAACCAACACACCCTCAAGCCAAGCAGTAAGACAATCATAAAAACGGGTGTGCGGGGATGCAGGGGGGTAAGGGAGGGCGAGAGAGAGATGTGTATCCCCCTGCATCCCCGCACACCCGTGGGTTTAGTGTATCCGTGATGCAGCGGGTTTACTTACAGCTCCACAAGGTTGGATAGCTGGCTGATGGATTGTGGAATGGAACAAGGCTGGGCATCGTAGCCGCCCACGACCCTGATGGGTGGAGTGCATCACATGAGCCAATCAAGTTTTTGTGGCCAGGGGACAAGGGAGAGGGGGACGGTAGGGAGAGGAGGCAGGGGCTTGGCTTGGAAAAAGTGGGAGGGGGGGCCACACCTGGCATGCTTTTGGCATGGTGCGGCAGACACACTTGGCATGCATTTGGCATGGTGCAGCAGACACACTTAGCATGCATTTGGCATACCACAGCAGCCATGCATAGCAGGCATTTGAAATAGCACAGCAGCCATGCATAGCAGGCATTTGGCATAGCGCAGCAGCCATGCATAGCAGGCATTTGGCATAGCGCAGCAGCCATGCATAGCAGGCATTTGGGCATAGGAAGAGGGACACACAAGATAGACAGCTTTGCTTGACAGGCCCCCAATCAACTGGGAGCCACCCGCTGGTTGAACAGAGCAGAAGCCATGTGCTGGACAAACACGAGAACGGCTGTAGCAAGCTGGAAGTGTGATGCGATGTGGGGTAAGGGAACGCACATGCGGGTGAGGCGTGGAAGAGTGAAGAGCGCTGAAGGAATGTCGCCGATGAGCCTAACATTTGACAACTCTCTGCACAGCCGGGGTGGAGGAAGGAAGAGGCATGTGCGTGGTCAACAAGTGCGATTGAGGCGCCTCAAGAGCAGAGAAGGAGGAGGGAACCTCATACTACAGGCAAGGAATAAGGCGAAGCCAAACCAACCAATACACTCTCAACCTTCACTAGATAAGAACAATCATGAAAAGGGAAGTGCAGTCCAGGGCTGGAGAGGTTTCATTGAGGGTGAACGATTCACTCACAGCTGAACAAGGTCTGTTAGCTGGCTGAGGGACTCTGGAATACCACCACCAAATAGGCCACAGTTGGTTTTTATTCTTTACGCGCCTCAAAGATTCACTTACAGCTCAACAAGGCCCGTCAGCTGGCTGATGGACTCTGGAATAGCACCAGTTAGGCCATAGTTGGCACTCCGGCTACCAGTGCCTCTTATCACTCTGGTGAACCGAGACGTGTTTTGCAACACAGGGGAAGAGAAAGGGAGGCAGGAGGGAGAGGGGGAAGGTACTTGGCAAGGAATCTTTCGGACATAGAAAGGAGGCGTCCCTAAACCCTAAACCCTGAACACATGGCATGCATTCATTCTCTCTTCTTGGAAGGTTACATTGCATGCCTTGGTTTTCACATAGAGCAGCACTCATACATACAGTTGTCATGATTCGGGAAAGGCATGGCATGACTTTGGCATGGGAGGAGGGACATACATGATCGACAGCTTTGCCAGATCCCCAACCGACTCGGGTATTTCGCCAGAAACGACATCTTCTAGAACCATCCTGGAGGTAGGAGTAGTAGGAGTGGTAGGAGTATGGAGACACGAGGACTGATAGGAAAGGGTGAGGGCATGGGAACAGGGGTTAACACGGACCGTCACTTGCAGCAGTGCAGCGAGGCACACAGAGGGGTGGCACTCACAACTGCGTGATCATGCCTGCATCATCACAGGTGAGCACTTCAGCGGTCTTGCAGTCATCCCCGGCCTGCCAGCCGCGAGGAGCATCACGTCCATCCAGTTTCCAGGAGGTCCTCAGTTCCTTCAGAAAAGGCACTGCAAGGGACGCGTGTTTGGCAAGGGACGCGTGTTTGGCAAGGGACGCGTGTTTGGCAAGGGATGCGTGTTTGGCAAGGAGCGCATGTTTGGCATGGAGCGCGTGTTTGGCAAGGAGCGTGTGTTTGACAAGGAGCGTGTGTTTGGCAAGAAGCATGTGTTTGGCAAGGAACACGTGTTTGGCATGGAAGAGCAGTCCGGAGAAAGCAGCGATCCGGAGAAAGCAGCGGTCCGGAGAAAGCAGCAGTCCGGAGAAACTGGAGATGATTGGTGAGAGTGACCGGTGTTGGCACGAAAGTCCGGCAGGGAAGCATCGATGATTGGCAAAGACGCTCCAGAAGTAGACGACACCCATATACCAGCCCCTAAACGTCCGGAAAGGATTTGAAAACCCAAGGCAAGGCCTCGTGCTGCCCTGTATCCTTACACTGGGAGGCGTGCCATGGAGTGCCGGTGCTGGTGACGCATGCTGCATGGTCTGTCATGTAGGCACTCCCTGCGTCACACGCGCACTTGGCCTGTGAACGATCCATGTCCCAATTGCAGTACCCGCGGCCGCCACAGGGTAGCGTGGAGGGAGGCACGAGGCCGCAGGTGGCGGTGCAGTCGCTCTCTTCTCGCTGCTCCTGTGCGAAGTTGCACGGGCTGGTGAAGCAGTTGGTGTCAACGATCACCTGGCTCTCATTCAGGCTGCATACTCTGGAGGGAAGATCCGTGCCGAACAAGTAGTTCCGATGCACGCCACTGCACAAGGAAGACAGGTAAGGGGGAAAACAAGGAGCGAGAAAAGAGGGAGGGGGGGGGGGGGGGGGGGAGGGGAGAGGGGGAAGGAGGCGGGGGAAGATGGGGGAGAGGGGAAGGTGCTGCGAAAGTGATCAAACAGCAGCTTGCCTTCTTCCAGCCTGCACAAGCTGCAGGGAGAGGCTGCTGCGTAAATAGAACCCTTAAACGCGCGAGGACAAGGAAGAAGGGCATGAAGGGAGAAGGGAGGGAGAAGGGGTGGGAGGAGAGAGAGAGCCTCATGTCGATCGGTTTCATGAAAAACTTGCTCCGTTTGTTCCTGAATTCATTGCTGGAGAGAACAGGCAGGCAGGGTGCAGTTGTGAAACGAGTGAAGGCAGAGGGTGAAGTGAGGGTAGGGGGTGAAGTGAGGGTAGGGGGTGAAGTGAGGGTAGGGGATGAAGTGAGGGAAGGGGATGAAGTGAGGGTAGGGGGTGAAGTGAGGGTAGGGGGTGAAGTGAGGGTAGGGGGTGACGTGAGGGTAGGGGATGAAGTGAGGGTAGGGGTGAAGTGAGGGTAGGGGATGAAGTGAGGGTAGGGGGTGAAGTGAAGGTAGGGATGAAGTGAGGGTAGGGGATGACGTGAGGGTAGGGGATGAAGTGAAGGTAGGGGGTGAAGTGAGGTAGGGGTGAAGTGAGGGTAGGGGATGAAGTGAGGGTAGGGGGTGAAGTGAGGGTAGGGGGTGAAGTGAGGGTAGGGATGAAGTGAGGGTAGGGGTGAAGTGAAGGTAGGGGATGAAGTGAGGGTAGGGGGTGAAGTGAGGGTAGGGGGTGAAGTGAGGGTAGGGGATGAAGTGAGGGTAGGGGATGAAGTGAAGGTAGGGGGTGAAGTGAGGGTAGGGGATGAAGTGAGGGTAGGGGATGAAGTGAGGGTCGGGGATGAAGTGAGGGTAGGGGGTGAAGTGAAGGTAGGGGATGAAGTGAGGGTAGGGGATGAAAGGTGCAAAAATACGGCCGTATTGTATTTTATTTTGCGTATAATACGGAATCGTATTTTTCGGTCGTATAAAACGGTTTATAACGCTAAAAGTGTACCCTTTTTGGTTGGTGCAAAAATACGGCCGTTTAATATGGCCGTTTTTTTCAACCCACCGAAACATTGGTCGGTCTAGTTTTTGTAGCGAAGTCACGATGTTATCGAGTTGTTCTGTCCTCACCCAGAAACGTCGAGTTCCGGTTTTCACCGAGCCGCGGATTTGACGGATTCACGAGCCGCGCAGACCCAACATTTGGCGAATTCTGAAGGGCCTGTACACCCGTTTCGTCAGTGTCGTTGGGTCTGTTCGCGCATACAAGGCCTAATTTTCGCGCGCATCGCAAGCCTGCCAAGCTCTGGCGAGTCGCTGAATTTGTTCGCGCCCTATCACGATTCACAAGTCGTCCTTTCCGTTCCCTCCCAGCTAGCCCATCAATTGTTTCACACCTTTGCAGCGAGGCTACGAGGTACAAACACGGAACATCTCCAGCAAGGTGAGCACAATCCAGTAGTTCGTTTTTCTTGGCGGCATTCCACCCGAACATACTCCTCAGCTAGCGGCGTTTCCTAGCCACGCCATGCCTAGGCCCCCGTCGTCCTTATGGGAGCATGTGACGAAAGTGACGGGTCCGAACGGCCTTGTTACTAGCGCTGTTTGCAAATATTGTGAGTAGGGGAGGTGGAGGAGTAGGGGGGCATTGTGGAGGAGTAGTAGGAGTAAGTTAGACTAGACTGACCTGGAAAGTTTCTTGTTAGCCCGCGTAGCATTCGGTAGTCTGTCATAGCCAAGGTACTGTCAGTTTCTGCATGTCTGCCCTTTTTTTTTTCCAAAGATTTTCGTCTATTAAAAAAACGGCGTATTTTTCAAAAAATCTGGCGTATTATACGACCGTATAAAACGGACCGTATAATACGGATACCGTTTTTTTGCACCTTGGGATGAAGTGAGGGTAGGGGATGAAGTGAGGGTAGGGGGTGAAGTGAGGGTAGGGGATGAAGTGAGGGTAGGGGTGAAGTGAGGGTAGGGGAAAAGTGAGGGTAGGGGTGAAGTGAGGGTAGGGGTGAAGTGAGGGTAGGGGGTGAAGTGAAGGTAGGGGTGAAGTGAGGGTAGGGGATGAAGTGAGGGTAGGGGGTGAAGTGAGGGTAGGGGGTGAAGTGAAGGTAGGGGTGAAGTGAGGGTAGGGATGAAGTGAAGGTAGGGGGTGAAGTGAGGGTAGGGGGTGAAGTGAGGGTAGGGGATGAAGTGAGGGTAGGGGTGAAGTGAAGGTAGGGGGTGAAGTGAGGGTAGGGGGTGAAGTGAAGGTAGGGGATGAAGTGAGGGTAGGGGTGAAGTGAGGTAGGGGATGAAGTGAGGGTAGGGGTGAAGTGAGGGTAGGGGATGAAGTGAGGTAGGGATGAAGTGAGGGTAGGGGTGAAGTGAGGGTAGGGGGTGAAGTGAGGGTAGGGGATGAAGTGAGGGTAGGGGTGAAGTGAGGGTAGGGGATGAAGTGAGGGTAGGGGGTGAAGTGAGGGTAGGGGTGAAGTGAGGGTAGGGGTGAAGTGAGGCTAGGGGATGAAGTGAGGGGGGGTGAAGTGAGGGTAGGGGATGAAGTGAGGGTAGGGGGTGAAGTGAGGGTAGGGGATGAAGTGAGGTAGGGGGTGAAGTGAGGTAGGGGTGAAGTGAAGGTAGGGGGTGAAGTGAGGGTTGGGGATGAAGTGAGGGTAGGGGGTGAAGTGAGGGTAGGGGGTGAAATGAGGGTAGGGGATGAAGTGAGGGTAGGGGGTGAAGTGAGGGTAGGGGTGAAGTGAGGGTAGGGTGAAGTGAAGGTAGGGGGTGAAGTGAGGGTAGGGGTGAAGTGAAGGTAGGGGGTGAAGTGAGGGTAGGGGATGAAGTGAGGTAGGGGATGAAGTGAGGGTAGGGGATGAAGTGAAGGTAGGGTGAAGTGAGGGTAGGGGGTGAAGTGAGGGTAGGGGGTGAAGTGAGGGTAGGGGTGAAGTGAAGGTAGGGGGTGAAGTGAGGGTAGGGGTGAAGTGAGGTAGGGGTGAAGTGAAGGTAGGGGGTGAAGTGAGGGTAGGGGATGAAGTGAGGGTAGGGGGTGAAGTGAGGGTAGGGGATGAAGTGAGGGTAGGGGATGAAGTGAGGGTAGGGGGTGAAGTGAGGGTAGGGGATGAAGTGAGGGTAGGGGGTGAAGTGAGGGTAGGGGATGAAGTGAGGGTAGGGGGTGAAGTGAGGGTAGGGGATGAAGTGAGGGTAGGGGTGAAGTGAGGGTAGGGGTGAAGTGAGGGTAGGGGGTGAAGTGAGGGTAGGGATGAAGTGAGGTAGGGGTGAAGTGAGGGTAGGGGTGAAGTGAAGGTAGGGTGAAGTGAGGGTAGGGGTGAAGTGAAGGTAGGGGGTGAAGTGAGGGTAGGGGTGAAGTGAGGGTAGGGGTGAAGTGAGGTAGGGGTGAAGTGAAGGGGGTGAAGTGAG